ATTTTATATTTTAACTGACTTGTCTAGTTATTTCATGAAATAGATAGTTTTTCTATGAAATAACTGAATTATACACTTTAACGGCAACACATATACTTTTAAATAAAATGTATTTTAAGAGAAGTTTCTGAAAAGATGAAAAGTTGGCAATGACGAAGCGCATGAACTGATTTGCTGAAAACACATAATTGTTTATTTTTGTTATTTGTCACATGAGTTTTCGAACTGATTGGATAAAAAAACGTGATTATCATTATAATGTGACTATGATGTCACATGAATGGGTTCAATTTATGTGACTATGACGTCACATAATAGTGAAAGCCACGTCAATCTAGCTAATCAATTCAAAAACTCATGCGACGTCATAGTCACACGATAAAAACTATCTAGTGTTTCCAGCTAATCAATTAACGCGCTCCAGTGTTGCCAAGTTTTACTCTTTGCAGAGACTTTCTCTTAAAAGGTACATTTGTATACAACATGCATTTTATTTAAAAGTATAAACATAAAATATGATTTTTTTTTAATTTAAAAAAATCTTTTTGGAGAAACTTTTTCCCCTAACATTTAAACATCTTTACCCAAATATAAAATTTGAAAAATTTTATCTGAGTTTTACAAATAGAACAACAAATACAATTAGTTTAATGTTTGTTTTGAATTCAATGGAAAACACGTGTTTGTTTTTACCATGTGACTTCATTAATTGAGCCCATACTTAGTTTTCAAATGAATTTACTCGCAGTGTACTTGCATTGACATTGTGTGAAGTTAAGGTATCCAACTACGTTCGCGGAATCGTGATTTTGCAAAAGCGTATAAATGGATAATATTTATGATATTTAGCGTCACTTAGATTAGACAATGTATATAAAATTGTTTTAAGAATATTATTACAAGGAAAAATTATTTAAGTACAATATTTTGACAAAAAAATGAACCTAGAATGACCCATTTTCAAAATATTCTCCTTTTGTGGAAAATGCCTCTATTGTGTAATAATATTTTGCCCGTATATAGCTTAAACCTCTGTACAGAGGCTCAACTAGAATGTTTGAAATATATGACTTAGAAGTGGATTTATCCATGTCTTGTACGACACAACAGAGGGGAGAAACTTTAAGAAAAAAACACCGATAATTATTTCAAATGGTTGTAACTCTGAAAATAATTTGAATTTTTCAAAAATCATAGTTGAGCCTCTGTAGAGTGGTCTGAGCAATATGCAGGCAAAATATTATTATAATAGAAGCATTTTTCACAAAAGGAGAGGATTTTGAAAAAAGATTATTCTAAGTTAATTTTTTGCCAAAATATTGTATTTAAATAATTTTTTTTGCCAAAGTGTCCTTAAAACAATTTTATACATGTATTCTAATCTAAGTGACACTAAATATCATGAAAATTATCCATTTATGCGTTTTTTTTAAAATCACGGTTCCGAACGTAGTCTGATACCTTAAAGGTGTGTTACTTGCAGGCAAAACTATCATAAGTTGTTCGAGTTATTAGTTTTATTCTCCTTTGATGATCGACAAATAGCATGTTTAACTTTTTCTTGCTTTTGTCCTTTTGATATGGCACCGTATGTCTTGTGGTACAGTAAGTACAGAAATACAAGCTGAATCAATTGAAATGAAATTTCTGGAAAGTGGACACAGTTACTTGCCTAATGATTCACAATTTGCTATCATTGAATCTCTAGCAAAAAAAGTTCAGAATATCTTTTCGCCAGATTACTGGTATAATATAATAAAAATATGTAAAAAGAAAGCGCCGTTTCATATGGTTCAAATGACGCATCAGGACTTTTTCTCTCTACAAGTACTTTAGAAAATACTATTAATAATAGAAAGGTATCAGTTACAGGGATGCCAGTAAATTGGCTCAAAATGCACTGGATAAAATTAGAAAAGTCGAAACCTCATCTGATACAATTTAAGTATGACTTTAACGAAGATACTGAATTTAGTGCCATAAATATACGAAAAAGTGTAGCAGTGTCTGAAAAATATGATCCAGCCTTTGTTGCATCCAACAGGTAGAACAGTGACAAGAGAAAAGATATGATGGACTTGTTGAAATTTATTCCTCCTATTAAACACAAGTATTATAAAACTTTAAGGACAAATCGACAGGATGGGAACTCAAATACAGCTAACGAAGATGACATTTATAATGATGATAACGCAATTTAAACAAAGTAATAATACTCGTAATATTATGTACGAGTAACAGAATAGTTATTATTCATTTGTGCTAAACTCTAATAAAACATATGTTTATATAATGACATTTTACCGTAATAAAAGAATAATTCAAAGACTGAATTTGAATTAATAATTTACTTTCACTTGCCAAATCGATTAACTCCACCAATCACGAAAAAATTGTAGTAATAATAACAATTACTCCAAGTATATTCCATCTTATACTTTCTATATGTCATCAAATCAAATAGGCATTTGTAATGATACAGTCTACATCGTATTTTCAAATTTTTAATTTGAAAAGAATTTTAAAAAACAACATATAATATTTTATCATTTTTCTCAACTTCTTGTTTTATGGAGTTAATCTATTTGGCAATTGAAGCATCCATATATATATTAGCCATTATCCACTCGTTTCACCGGGTTGTTTGACTATTTATTGATTTTAAGTTATTGACATCGGTCCCCGAGAATTAACTCATCGATTGTATGCTCAAAGTCTTAGCTTCTTGATTCTAAATGGAGAGGGTTTGAATTTATAAAGTGAAACTATATTTCTCATTTACGCTCTCTTACGACCTTAGTTGTCAATTTCCGTAAAATTCATTTTTAGAGGATCTCTACTCAACACAACAAACATGCTTCTTACTTTTAAGGTCTGCTGGTCTAATAGTTCCAATACGGGAACTTTTTAACCTATACGCTTCCGTAATCCTCCCCCACCCCAGCACACACACACACAGTGGGTAGATATCTATAAAACCCTTTCTTAACGGATCTCTACTCAAACGAAATTACATGCTTTCCAAAGGTCGTCTATAGGTCTAATAATTCTAAAATGGAATTTTTTTCTCTAATATACCTCAGCATCTCGTCCTTGGGGGTTAACATTCTGGAATACCCATTCTTAGCTAATCTCTACTCAATAAAAGAAACATGCACCCAGATTTCAAGACTTTTGGTCTGATAATTTAAAAACGGAAATTTTTGTCTATAACATCACCGCAGACTACTTTGTGAAGTATTCCCCCGTGGGTGACACCTCACTCCTAAGTTAACTTCTGGATCTAGAGGTGTGAGATTGAATAAAGAACCAGGCATTGTCGTGATCTTAAAATGTCTTTATTAAGATCTTAACTTAAACACTAACAATGATAATATTTATATTATAACTTAGCGGATCTGAGGTGAGAAAACACACAATACGTATTACCAAATAAGCGCGATCTTATATAGCCACGATATTTAACTTTCCCCTTCTATTCGTAAACTCTGTTTATATCACTGGTACTAATGGATACTAGAATGATCCTACCTTAATTTCTTGCTTAATCACAATCCGCTCGGATCCTCAATATCTCTGGAATAACTTGTGTGGAATTGGATCCACCTTGACTCGATCGCTCTGTCACGGATAGTTTCACAATCAACGACGGCTTTCTTCTCTTCCTTCAATTCACGCGCTTAAACCAGACTAGCATAATCACTTCCCAATAGGTCATACGCTTATGTTAAACTTCTGCTATTTAAAAGGTTTCTAATTTGCATATTCACGTTTCGCTTCTGGATTTGGTTGGAAAGAATTTGCCTTTTTCGGCCTCAAGGAGCCCAAGATGAGTTTTTAGTAGAAAACGCGATGAGCCCGTCAGAACTTTGGGAGCCATTTTCCACAAAGTCCTTTCTAAGAGGATCTCTACTTAACAAAAGAAACACGCCTACCAATTTTCAAATCAATAGGTTTAATAATTCCTGAGATCTCGTGATGAGAGTCGCTTTTCTCTTACATAGATAGAGTGAGTGAGTGAATTTATCGCTTTTCTCTTACATGTAGAGACAGATGAATCATTTATAATTCAACTTTTGATTCAGAAAATAAGTATTATAAACATCAAAAAAGCATTTGCTTTGTTCTACTTATCATTTTTCTAGATTACTAATTATGGTATCAGTAATTAAAGGTTATGCACATCAGATTCATTCTTATGTACAAATTTTATTTACTTGATATTCTAATGTAACATAAAGAATTTTTGCTGTTGGTAAAATGCTCAATAAAGAAAATTTCTAATTTTGAAACTAAATTATGTTATAGTAGGGTTTGCTCCATGCAATGTCTATAAATATGTAAAAATATCACGTAGTATTTTGGGGAAATTTATTGCAGAATTCTTAAATTGAAATATTATTTTGTTGTTGCCAAGAATTAGTTCATCATTTTGTTTTAGACTGAATTATAATCCAAACGAAATAAAAAATAGAGTTAAAAAAATAAATATACAATTTTTTTTTATTCGGTTTTGATTATTCCTTTAAATTATTGCCTTTTCCCTTTTTCTGGATTTTTATGGTATCTATACATTATAAATAATAGTTTTTATGTATATTGCTAAAATAATCGGTAAATGATAACAGGAATCAATGTCAGGAAAGTTTAAATTAAATGGAATGTTTAAATTATCATTTAAACTTTACGTTTAAATGATAATTTACCCCATTTAATTTATGAATTTTTTCACAATTTTTCAATTTCTCTCTCTACCATTAGTTCGCTCTCTCCCTATGTTTTTATATATATATATCTTGTTCAAATATTCAATCGTTGATAAAATACTTTCTATTAATCCATTCAAGTTCAAATACATTTTTTTTAAACTTGTAGTCGATGACACTTGTTAATAGTTTTTTCAAATATTAAATCATTAATTAAATTTAAAAAATGAATAAATAGTAACTAACAAAAATAATAGTCCAACAGCAAATGTAGAAAAGAAAATTGTTCGTTGTGTCTCTGTAACGCAATGGGTAGCGCGTTGGACTTATGATCCAGAGGTCGTGGCTCGAAACCCACCTGGGATGGTATAATTTCTGAGAACGTGATTTCTTTTTTTACTATACTATTTTATTTGAATAATTAAATATTAATTAATGAATAAATAGTAACAAACAAACAAAAAAATAGTCCAACACGATGTATAGAAAAGAAAATGGAAAATTGCTAGAAAATCGTTTTCTACTTTGTCACTTAATAGTGTGATTCTGTCATATGTAAATACATATTTATATTAATTGTAATTATTTAACAAAAAGTAATTAAAATGAAATTTTTATTTGTCGACATAAAAGGGAATTGGCTTAATGTTTTTTTATATTACTTGTTATTATGAAGTGCAAATCACTAACAATTATGAACTGTGAAATATGACGGATTCTTTTATAATATAACGTTTCCTGGCAACCAAAAATCATCATATAATACATTCCACAAAAAATGCGTAGCAATACATGAACGGCAAGAAATTAATAATGCACGTAAAGTAAACTGCATATTTACT